ATTCATAAGTTATATGATTCATTTTGATAATTATCCGATACTTCATCTGAGTAATTAGTTTTAAAATTAAATCTTGCATGTTCTGTTTATTATGTAGTATTTTGATGAATTCAAGTGTGCTACTTACTCGAAAGCAAGATTGGAAGAAATTAAAGAGGAATGGTGTCAATTTATTCTTGAGTTGAGAATTGTATAATGTTATCGGATTGGAAGAATTGTAATTATATGTAAATTGACTGTATTTGTGATGTTGTAATTTTGAGGATCGGATTTTGTTGTAACATATTTAAGCAGGTTTATGTGTATTAAAATGATTATGGGCAAAGTGATGAGTTACAATGTATACTTAAAGGCCAAAGTTTTGAATTGTATATATAAGGTCAAAGTTTTGAATTGTATATATAAGGCCAAAGTTTTGAATTGTATATATAAGGTCAAAGTGTTGAAATAAAGGCTTGAATTATAAGCAGGTTTGTGTAATATAAGCAGGTTGTTGGTAAATATACAAAATAACATGAATATTTTTTTTAAAAAAAATTTAAAATCTGGGACATTAGACAACGCTTTTACAAAAAAGTGCTGCTAAAGGTTACAAATATAGCGCTACAAAAGCGTTGCTATAGGTTAGGAAGGGGGGAGGTCTAAGACAGCGCTTCTAAAAAGCGCTGCTAAAAGGGGGGCTATGACAGCGCTTTGTAAAAGCGCTGCTAAAGGTGGGGTCTAAGACAGCGCTTTATGAAAGCACTCCTAAAGGGGGAAGGATTGGGGGGAATATGCAGCGCTTATAAAAACGCTGCTAAAAGTGATGCTGAAGGGATCCTTTAGCAGCGCTTTTTCCATAAAAAAAGCGCTGCCTTTATCTTTAGCAGCGCCAAGCGCTGCTAAAGGTCTTTTTTGGCATAGTATTATGAGGATCGGATTGTGTTGAATTATATAATGTATTTGTGAAGTATTTGTGAACTATGTGAGTTACATAATGTAAATTGATTGTATTTGTGAAGTATGTGAATTACAATGATTATGGCCAAAGTGTTGAATTACAATGTATATATAAGGCCAAAGTGTTGAATTAAAGACCTGAATTATAAGTAGGGAATGTAATTGTTATAAGCAGGTTTATCGAAAAAAATATAAAAAAAAAGTGATTATTTAAAAAAAAAAATTAAAATCGTGAAGAATAGACAGCGCTTTTACAAAAAAACGCTGCTATAAGGGAGCATAGAGAGCGCTCAAAAAAGCGCTGCTATAGGAGGGGGAAGGGGGGAGAATAGGCAGCGCTTTTAAAAAGCGCTGCTAAAGGGGGGAATAGGCAGCGCTTATAAAAAGCGCTGCTAAAGGGGGGGAATAGACAGCGCTTCTGAAAAGCGCTGCTAAAGGGGGGGAGGGGGGAATAGGCCGCGCTTCTGAAAGCACTGCTAAAGGGGGGAAAAGCGCTGCTAAAAGTGCTTCTAAGTGGGGCCTATAGAAGCGCTTTTTCCATAAAAAAAAGCGTTGCCTTTACCTTTAGCAGCGCCACTTTAGGCAGCGCTTTTAAGCGCTGCTAAAGGGCAAAAAAAGTGCTGTTAAAGGTCTTATTTGGCATAGTGTCTATATGCTTTGTAGGTAACGGGGATATAGAATTTTGAGATGAAATATGTAGGTTAAAAGGTTGCAAGGTTTGATTATACCATGTTAGGCTCAAGTAGTCATTTAAGGTGAGAATTATGGTAGTATTGGTGAAGGCGAAGGTGTGGGAATCCATGTAGCAGTTGAGGTTTGTTGATTGTTGTGAGTTGAATGATAAGGAGATATAGGTGTACCGTCTGTTGCTCAACATCACCATGTCTCTGGTATGCCATATTGATCTCGTCCACATACAGTTTCCTCAGGAACTCAAATCTAACATGAGCACCTCTGGTTTTATCCACCTCCTTCATCGTCTTCTCTAGATCCGCTCTCAAATGCTTTACTATCATCTCAACTGCCTCGTCTCTGGTAATCCTCTCATGATCAAAGAACTTCCCCCTAATCGAAAGATGTAACAAACATGAGACATCGTCTAGTGTGATAGACATCTCACCATGCGGAAGATGAAACGAAGAGGTCTTAGAGTATCATCTCTCCACGAAAGCATTTTGTGGTTAACCAGAGTGTAACTGGTCATGCATAGGTCTTTTAGGCCAGATGATAATATTACACTCTGAAACCAATCCTCCTATTGAGGCAATGCAGCAATCTTCCTCCCATGGTTAAGAAACTTTTATGGATCACGCACCTGAAATTTTCCAAAAATAAATAATGTCAGTAATAATCATTGTCAAAAATTAAAATTAAAATTAACGCATAAAAAAATAAAAAAAATCCAACTAATGCTACCTCTATATCCCATATATGTTTGGCAGTATGGTCTAGATACAGAAGGAGTAACGACATATCATATGGAGCTCCTCCAAAATCCTCTAACTCGGCATCCACAACATCCTAGCCCTCTAGAGGTGACACTGGATCAGCAGGATCATTAGTGAGAGGTGGCACTATATCCGTAGGAGGTGACACTGTTGAATCCTAACGCCTGCGGAGGATGGGGAAAATAACGCGTCAGATGATGAATCTCGTCTTCTGCGGGAATAAGAAGGTGGAGTGGCTTGAGATGAAGTGGCATGAGGTGAAGGACGAGTTCTAAGAATAGACTGCGCCCCAGAAGTCGATGCCTCAACCTGACCAATGTACTTGCTGGTTGCGCTCCCGCCAAACGGATGTGTGTTGGGCAACCCAACCATATCTCAGTTTGTCGACTTTGTCATCCATTATGCATGTAAGATAAAGTAAGACATATCATTAGTGCATGCAAACGAAACACACAAACAGAAAAACTTAAAAATATAAATAATAAAAAAAACAGACTGCAGGATATTCTGAAGATATATCTCCGAAAACACCATAAAACAATAACGTTAAACAATACTGAAAATGCATCGTCAGAAACACCATACAACTATTTACTTTGAATAATTCTGTAAATGCATCTCCGGAATATCCCAGAGGATATGAAACGCTGAACAATTTCGAAGATGTATCTCCAGAATATTCTGCAACTTAGAGATCGCGACAATGGCGTAATATACTTCTTGCAATGTGGAAAAAATGATTTGATCGCCATTTTGAGCCAACAAACAAGTCATACACTAAGTCTAAATTATGTTACTTGTAATTTTTACACATTTCCACCCCTAATCAATTATTTCTACACATTTACACTAAAACTCAAATATTTACCGAAAACACGAAAAACTTACGTGAAATTGATGATTCAGATGTTGTTTTCGATATTAGAGATGGTGTTTGATGTTCCCTTGAGTTCCTTTGACGCCTTACTTGATGAAATTTGATACTTTGCGTAGGAAAGTGTATTGAGAGAGTTTGATGTTTTGTGTTGAAGAAACTGTGACATGAGAGAGGAGAAAAATCTGACGCAAGTTAAGCTCTAAATTGTTTCAGAGATATATTTTCAGAATATTTTAATATTTATTGAACTTAGAATGCGTCCGAAAATGTATCTCCAAAATCAATAAAAATATACAAAAATTCACATGATTGACTACAAATATATAAAATACATTAAAAAAATTCACACACAAAAAAAAATTGATCTGCAAAATTAGCAACCAAGTCTAAATTAATAAAAGAATGAATTAAGATCCATAGTGGAAATAGATTTCACTTTTATGGTGTTTATATGGATGGTTGCCACCAATGGATTAATTGTTACATGGTATTGAGCAAAAATTCTATAAAACACTTATATAGTTGTTGGCAAAATTATTTTTAACGTCTTAATGATCATAAGCTCTTGAGCTAAGTAATTTAAATAGTGTTCTTATTGTTATTTAATGTGTTTTTGAGTGAAAATTATTAAAACATATATTTGTGAATTACATCATAGTAAATTTGGAAGAATCAATTGTCTTCAAATTTATTTTAAAATTAAAAATAATACCAAACCATTGTAAAAAATAAAAATAAAAAAGTATACGGTGAAAATGACTCAAAATATTTTGTGAAATAAATAATAAATCAAAACCATTAATAAATATCTTTTTCACAAAGATGGGGATCAACATAAATAGTATCCTTGCTTTTCATATACCTTTTTCTTACACCAATATCTACACCATTCGAAATAATGTTCGTAAATAGTATTCATGGATAGTTATTTTAAAATAATATTATAAAATTAATTAATAAAATATAAAAGACCGATTAATAAAATAATAAAATTGGTTAATAAACGTACAGATATTAAAAATAATTTTTTTTAAACAAAAATTAGTTAATGAATAGTAATAAATTGATTAATGAAATTATAAAATTAGTTAATAAACATTCAAATATTAAAAATAAATTTTAACAGTAATCAAAATTGATTAATTTAATATAAAAAATTAATTAATTAAATTATAAAATTGATTAATCAATAATTTTATATCGATACTTAATAAAAAAAATTTTAAAAATAAAAAATATTATTATTATAATATTTCAGAATATCATTTCTCAAATAGTTATACTAAGTAAATTGACTATCTATATTTATTCTCATTCCTATCCTTGAGAATCGCGCGTACGTCACGCACACATGAAGCGCGTGTTCAAATTAGTAAACCAAAAACGTGAAATAGATGAAATTTAGTTCAACGGTTACCACGCGGCATTTTCTTCATGTTCCATCTTACATTCGACAAACACAAAAAAATAAAAAAAGATAAAAAAATAAAATTATTATTATTATTATCATCATTATCAAATACAAAAAAGCAAAAACCTTTGTGTCCCTTTCTCTCTCTTGTCTTTCTCTCACTTCACCCCTCCACGATTTCCTCTTCCTCCTTTGTACTACCACCTCCATCTTTTCTTTTCTTTTTTCCCAAAGATATAATCTTTTTCTTTCACAGTCCAAACCCCTTTTGTTTTCTCACCTCAATTTTCCATCTACAATCAAGATTCTTAATTCTCAAGCCAACATGGTTTTGTTTCGTTTTTCTACTGATTTCACTGTGTTTCTCTCTGTGTTCATGCTTCTTCTTGGTGTGAGTTTTGCTGGTGATATAGTACACCGTGATGATTCTTCCCCCAAGAGGCCTGGATGTGAAAACAACTTTGTTCTGGTACTATATTACTAATCATAATAATATATCATAGAAAATTTTAATATTTGCTTCTGTTTTTAGATTTTTTTTTTTTTATTTGTTGTATCAGTATCTCAGGCTCTCAGGCTTTGTTGTCTTTTGTGAATGTATTAATCTCTAGCATTTGTTCTTGTATTCTGAAAATTACCCTTTATTGAAGGTGAGAGAGAATGAAAAAAAAAATTGTAGACTGTGAATTCTATTGAAATTGTTAATGGATAATTCATAATATAGTGGTATCTATTTATAGATTTAAGGACTGTTTGGATTAGTCTATTTGAGTTTATAGATTGACATAAATGTCAGTACATTGTTTTCAGCTTATTATAAGCAGAGTAGTCAATAGCGGCGCTAGATAGCGGACCGGAGCCTAGGCCGACTGCTATGGGAAGAGCCTTAAGTGTGTAGAACACTATAGTGACTGCTATAGGGTTAATAGCGGGATAGCGGAGCAGAGCGTTCTCGGCCTAGAAGGGTTTCTGGTTCACTATAGTGACTACTTAAGATGTTTTAAGGGTAACTTTGGTTTTTTCTATCAAATTTAAATTGAGATTCAACCTTAACCTTCCTTTGTAGTCGTTTATGAATATTTTATGAGTTGAGTTATTTGTTTAATTTTACATTATATATATGTTTATAATTATTATATGTAATTTGTCCAAAAATGATCAAATAGTACGCTATTCCACTTTTGGGTTTTGGGGTTGCTGCTCTGCGCCGCTATCCGGGAATGGCTACTCTCATTATTAGCTCTTGAGGATAGCTTGTGACAGCAGCTTATAGCTTTTATGAAGAAAAAAAATTGACTTTATTTAATCTTTTGTCATAGAAATAGCTTATTCGTATAAGTACTTATATGATAAGTGTTTATGTTATAAGTATGTCCGAGTTTTTTCAGCATATTTGACTGGGTTTTTTTCTTAGGTTAAAGTTCCAACTTGGATTAATGGTCTGGAAAGTGGCGAGTATGTCGGTGTTGGTGCAAGATTCGGCCCTACATTGGAATCGAAAGAAAAGCGTGCTAACCATACTAGAGTTGCCATTGCAGACCCTCCTGATTGTTGTAGCAAGCCTAAGAATAAGGTAACCTAGTTTTATACTATATAGAACTTACTAAATAATAATAATATGGGACTTCTTCTGTGGATGTTAAGTTAAGCATAGAATTAAAAGCTCTAAATTTTAGTTTATTAATAATTTGTAATACGGAGTGCCTTGAAATTTTGTTAGCTCACGGGCGAGGTCATTTTGGTGCACCGAGGACAATGTAGTTTCACAACCAAGGCAAATATAGCTGAAGAAGCCGGTGCTTCGGCCATCCTGATTATAAATAACCGTGCAGGTTTTTGCATGCAATTTTTTTCTTTCCCAAAATGCATTTCAAGACCTGTTGTGTAATTTTCTTTTCTTATCTTCAATGCAAAATTTTCAGTTTAAGGTTATAGGTAATAGTTTTTGTTTCTAACTTGTTAGGAATTTTTTAACTTTTTAATTTTAAGCAATAATTTTCTATCCTTATTTTGCAGGACTTTTCAAGATGGTTTGTGAAAAGAATGAAACCGATGTTGATATTGGAATACCTGTTGTCATGCTTCCACAAGATGCCGGTGAAACCTTAGAAAATTATATACAAAACAAGTCCACGGGTATGTTTCACTTCTTCCGTGACTGTCTCTATTCCTTTGTAATCAATTATGCTTTTTCCTTGGCCACTGGTTCGGTGTCTTACATGTTTGCTCGCTTTTAAAGTGTCTGTGCAGTTATACTCTCCACGGCGTCCATCGGTCGATGTTGCAGAAGTATTTTTATGGCTTATGGCTGTTGGTACCATTCTATGTGCTTCTTACTGGTCTGCCTGGACAGCCAGAGAGGACGTTATCGAGCGCGAGAAGCTATTGAAGGTTACATGGTTCCTTTTCATGTAAATTGCATTAGTTTTCTCATGATAAAAGAATATGATAGTAATATATATGGAACTTTTTACGATTTCAGGATGATTCAGATGAGTATTTAAATACAGAAAATGCTGGTTCGAGTCGTTATTTGGAAATAAGTACCACAGCAGCAGTTTCGTTTGTTGTGATTGCTTCTTGTTTCTTGATTATGCTTTACAAACTAATGGCATTCTGGTTTGTTGAAGTTCTGGTGGTTCTATTTTGCATCGGAGGGGTTGAGGTCAGTTATTATTTTTCTAAGTTTTATTCTCGATGATTACTGTTAAAATATATCAAAATATCGTATAGTATTTTGCAGTTTGATGTTTATTGTTGATACAGAACCTGAATCTTTCTTTATTCTTTGCATGCTTTCAGGGACTGCAAACTTGTTTGGTAGCTCTTTTATCATGGTAAGTTTCATGTATCGTTGTAATGTCAACCTAACAAGATGCTTTATTCTGTTGAATTCATCCGAAATGATATCGAATTGACAACAAAAATGTTGCATAGTTTTGGCTGGTCTCAACGTGCTGCACAGACATACGTGAAAATACCTTTCTTCGGTGCTGTTTCATATCTCACGCTTGCTGTTACTCCCTTTTGCATAGTGTTTGCTGTGGTTTGGGGAGTTAAACGCCGTGTATCGTATGCTTGGATTGGTCAAGATATTCTTGTAAGACTGGTTCTTTTACTTTTCCATTGTTTGTTTCTTCAAATTCCTATTTCTTTAGTCCGTTTTTGACGGACTGTTTTGAATAAAATACACATATATAAACCGACCACGGATTAGGAACGTATTTCTTAATCTTCTATTTTCAGGGTATTGCTTTGATAATTACAGTACTTCAGATTGTTCATATACCAAATCTCAAGGTGATGATTATTCACGCTTCTTTTTACTCTTCCTGTTTTTAGCGATTTGGCGAATGACAACACTAATGTATACATTATTTTCATAAGGTTGGAACTGTTCTTCTCAGCTGTGCCTTCATATATGACGTCTTCTGGGTGTTTCTCTCTAGATTAATATTCCATGAGAGTGTGATGATAGTGGTGAGTGTTTCAAGAAGTATCTCACATTCCTACCATTTTTTCACAGTTCCACTTTGGTTTCCTATTTCCCCTTTAAAATGATACAGTCTCTCTTATTTATAGGTAGCTCGCGGTGATAGGAGTGGAGAAGATGGTATTCCAATGTTGCTCAAGATACCGCGTTTGTTTGATCCTTGGGGTGGTTACAGTGTCATCGGTTTCGGGGACATAATCTTACCAGGGCTTCTAGTAGCCTTTTCGTTAAGGTTGAATTGAAAGTCTTACATGGATCTCTTATGTGTCTTAATAATGGTTCATGAACTTGATTATTCTGTTGAAAACTTACAGATATGATTGGTTAGCAAAGAGGAATCTTCGATCAGGATACTTCTTGTGGGCGATGAGTGCTTATGGTTTAGGTATGCTGTGTTTGATCTGGGTTTGGTTTTCATTGATTATGTTCGGATCACAGTTTATATCATGTTTTATGAAATATGAATTTTCATCTACAGGTCTTCTCGTCACATACATCGCTTTGAATTTAATGGATGGACATGGTCAACCAGCTTTGCTGTATATAGTCCCATTTACACTTGGTTAGTAAAACTATAACACATAAATTTGAATCACTAAACAAACACTGGTTATTGTGCATAAAAAAAATTGAATCTGCTCCATTTCGCCACACGCGGAGTCTATAACACGTGAGGCATATTAGGTATCAGCATTAAAACTAGTACACAATTTTTTGAACATTCTTTTCTGTATATGCAGGAACCTTTTTGTCATTGGGAAAGAAGAGAGGAGAACTCAAGATTTTATGGACAAGAGGGCAACCAGAAATGCCTTGCCCTCACATCCAAGAGGATTCTCAACCAATGGACCAGTAATCTCAAACAGAATAGTATTATTGTAGGTTTTAGTTTACAGGAGACTTGTATAACAACAAATCTTAGGAGATTATGTAACATTTGTAGATCTTTCATAAGTTTAACAAAATTTCAGCCAAATGATATCATGCACAAACGTGTACTGAGTTAAATCAGTAGCTGAGATTTGAGATATCCTCCTAACTCTTAACATGTTTTTCTGAAAAAATGTTAACAGAAGTCAGGAATTTTTAGACATTCCATGTCTCAATTATTTTTGTTGCATTTACCATATCTCTAAAACAAGGCGTGTCATAGCAAGTAACAACTACTTTTACGGTAAACTTTAATAGTATCAAAATGCTTTACACAAGCAATGTATTAAACCATCAAATTTCAATCTATTTTTCACTTAGCATAACACAAACCAACAGGCGCAAATTAGCTTTAAACCTTTTCTTCATCAAGGCACAAATGAACCTCTAAATCAAAACTCAAAGGAACAAATCAAAGAAAAATGCACAAGTTATATACGTCCCTTTCAAGTTACAAGCTCAGAAAACAGTTTTTTTTTCTGAATCATTCCTATAAGTACACAATAGATAGCCCCCAGCATCAAATTGCGCCTGGACTAAGCACCAACAATGAAGTGCAGGAATAAAGTTAAGTAGTAAATCGGAAAAATAAAAACAACTGACACGCCACACTTTTCTAGCATTTGTCAGCAACTCTCAAAATTGTTCCAGCCGTAGGCCAGATGGGTAGGCTTGTGCAGATTCATTTCCATTCTGAGTCGAGTCCTGTACATGAAAAGATAAATGTAAGAAATGGTATGGAACACTATAAATTTTAACACCAAAAGACAGGGAAGCCATAATCAAGTGAAAGTTTTTATTTGAACTCAAACAAAGGAGATAAAAAACAGGCTACTGTTTCAGGAGAAGAAATTTATTGGCCTAATAGAATATCATGGTTCCAAAAGTTGATGGTACATGATAAAATGCAGTTTTTACTCAGCATAGTAGGGTATGCTACTATGCTATCAGACTACATGTATAAAATGGCGACACTTGTGCCATAGTTTTGACTGTTGGATAGGAATTTATACTATTCAATGAATCCAACGGGATATCGATGTGGTGGAGGCTAGGTTGAGGCACCTACAATGTACCACCATACATTCTCACCTATTGAGTATAAGCATAAAAAATGCATAAAAAACGAATTTAAAAATGAATTGAATGGAGTGCCGAGAATACTATTGTTATGCTGTCTACTAAAAAGAAAAGGTTAAAACAAAACATTCAAAGAAAAGGAGTTAAGAAGTTCAGCTAGCATATCACTGGTAAGTAAAATAACCGCAAATAGATAGACAAACCTTTCAAATATTTCGCCTTAGAAGACCATTCCCATTGGTAGTAAAAAGCGTCGACTTCCTTTCTTGCCCTGATGATAAAAATTCTTGCATCCTTTCTGGCCAGTCAGAATTTAATCGGCGGGCAAAATCTTCTACTTCCCTGTGTCAAAGAATCAAATAAATAAGAACCCGTGTATATATAGCACAGTTATATAACCATCAAGCAAACATCCCCTTTATATCAAATTGATATCTCCCATCAAAAAAAAAAATCAAATTGATATCTTTGTAGCCGAAAATGAATGTGAAAAAGAGATATGGGGGAGACAATTAACAAGAATGTCATGAACAAAAAATTGGATCTAGCTCAAGTGGGCAAGAGTAAGGTGGGTAGAAGACATAGGTTCAGTTCCTTCCTAGAAGAAATTGTAAGCTTAATCAATAGTAGAAGCAAAGTTTTAAAGGTAGTTTTGTTAATTACTTAAGAGAAAGGGAAGAGGAATTAGTTGCCATCCTAAGCAAGTAAGTTTGAACGAACGAGCATCATTGCTAAAATCTCTATTATTGGGTCACCCACAATTGTCCACACTTCACATGTCCAATCTTGAATGTGAAGTGTGTTGAGATCCCACATTAACTAAAGATATGGCCAAATTAGTCCTTATAAGACTTGAGCAGCCCTCACCATCGTGAGCATTTGCTATGGTTGAGTTGGTCAAGTTAAAATTCTAAAATGGTAACAAAGTTTGTCCTAGATTTATTACTGGGTCATCCATATTTGTTCACACTCCAATGTCTAGTCTTAAGCATGAGAGGTGTTAAGATCTCTATTACCGGGCTACCCATATTTCTTCGCACTTAAGATGTCCAAGGCTGACCTTGAAAGAGTGTGTTTATGCCTCGCAGCGACTAGAGATATGGTCAAACTTGTCCTCATAAGGCTTGGGCAGCCCTCACTCCCATGAACTTAGTTTATGGGGTTGAGTTAGGCATAATCCTATTTCTAAGATGCTATAAGAGCTTATCCTAGAATTTTTTTGAGCCACAGATTTATGTCTATGCTCTAGTTGTCCAACCTTGGGTGTAAGAGTGAGTTAAGATCTTTGTTAATGGGCCATCCCCATTTATCCACGCTTTAGATGTCCAATCTTGAGCGAAAGAGGTTTTGTTGAGATCAACATCGACTAGAGATATGGCCAAATTAGGTCTTATAAGGGTTGAGCATCCCTCACCTCCGTGGGCTAGTTTGGGGGTTAAATTCGGCTCAGGCCAAAGTCTAAGAATTATATAAGCGTAGTATATGTGTGAACATAAAAATAAACTAAAAACAACCTACATATATATCATAAACAATTTTCATAAACCCTTCTAGAATTTTACAAAGTGTTTGCGCCATAAGTTAAACCTAGATAAGTCTTTCCAAATGCTCCCTATGTTGACCAAAGATTCACACCAAATCAAAACCATTAGCATTACCTAGTCAATGGTTTTACAATATTAAGGATCATGAAAAATCCATAGTTAAACTGCTATGAGATACAATATTTTACTAAGTTTATCATTCTCCTCCAAAACCAAGATCAAGATTATAAAACTCAAATCTAAATCTACCAAGTTTAACTAAATGCTGTCAAGCCTCACTCTCTGAAGAACACAGACACAACCACTTCATTTCATTTTCAACCCACTATAGATGATCCAAAAAGTACAATTTGCAGAAGGATAGAATTCAATCATTCAGATGACTTCCACTGCATATGCTATCTACTCCATATAAAAATATTCAGCAATGCTATTGACCACTAATGACAGGAAAAGCTAGAGATCTGTGACTGCGACTATGCTAAAGACAGTGATAGGTTGACAACCTTGACAGCCATCGACAAAAAAAAAAAAAAAAAAAAGAAAAAGAAAAAAGAAAGAAAGAAAGATTGTATAAGCAATTAGTGCAAATATTGTACTTCAAATGGAGCCCAACCTATCAATTTTTTCCTGTAGTGCAGGATCAATCTCATCATCTACATCTCCATCATCGTCATCATCAAACCCTTTATGACTAAAAGTGTCATCTTCTCTATGCATATTTGAGGTCCCACCGATTTTATCAGATACAGAACTATGACCACTTAACTCCTATCGCAAGAAAACAGGCAAAAAACTTTTAGAATTTATATGACAAATAATTGAGGTTGTTTATGAGAGGAAAATAACATGATATTTACAGTAACCTTTTTCGGTTTGGAAGCTTCCGTCAAAAGAGAGCTCTTCTTCTGCTCTTTTTTTCTTCTATTCTTCTTTTTACTCTTAGAAGTTTTAGACCCTTTTGAATCTGTGAAAAATTATTCACCTTTATTTAGACATTCAAAGGAAATAAACTGGAACGTAATTTAAGAGCCTATAGCTTTCAAATGATTCCTATGCAAAAAAGAATTACACAATAGTTTTAAATGAGCACAATAATGGAATTTATGGCCTTATGTAGGGTTCATTGCAACATTTGATTGATCATATTAAAAATCAACCTTGGTGGAAAGCAGGAAAAATTCCATAAAAAGAAGGGATAAAATATTTTTAATTTACCTTCATCATTTCCATTAATAAAAGACAAGAGGTCATCTACCGAGCGTTCATCTACATGCTCTCCTTCTAATTCAGCATTCTGAAACATGTGAGAGACCAATTCTTAATCAAGTCAATAGGCTACAGTTTTTAGAACATAATATCAAGAAGAGATGCAAGCAAACATCCGTCAACATTTAGAGATAAAGAGAACATTGAACAATGACAAATACTGTAGTATGATTAAAATAAAGAACATTGCAGTACCTTTAATCTCCCACGCTCTTTTAGCTCCTTCCTTTTTTTCGCATACAACCGGTTCAAAAGCCTTATCCTCGGGTCATCGGTTGTGTTTTTCAGAGGCTCCAACTTCTCTTCCTGGATCAAAAGTACATGTGGAAAATGAAAATTGATCACGAAAGGCATAATCAACATACAGAGTTCTTACAAGCACCACACACCTCTGTGAGATCATCCGGCAAATGAAATATCTCCCGTATCTCCTCAGGAGATTTTCCTTCAATTATTCTTGCAAGTGTACGACTTGTAAGATCAACCAGCGGCCTCAACTGAAGGCTGTCTGCGGCAGATGTCAAGTCACAGAGCCGTTTGGTATCCATCCTTATGAATCTTTCATCGTGAGACTTTCGTTCCTATACCAATAATACTCCCTATGTCAAATCATCTATGATATTCATTATTTTTCAGCCTTAAATCGCCTTGTATAAAGAAAATGATGGTGGAAAAGCATTAAATAAAGAGGTAGAACCTTGTTTGAGCGACCTGGTACTTGATGAAAACGACAATAATCAAGAACTAAACTCAACATAGCAGGAGTGACTTTTTCAGGAAGGCATATGGCACAATTTTTGGAAGAACCGGCGCCTTTTTGTATAATTTCTTGACAAATGAAAGGGCAAAACATTGCGATTTCTTGTTCCACCTGTTGGATGGAACCGTCTGAAGTCTGAAGCCAAATATAGGGCTTCATCATCTGAAAATGAATATCAATATAGTTTAAGTTCAATGTAAAAGGTAAGCAAAGCAAGGTATTGATTCTTTAGTAGGGCTTTTTAATTAGATTCAAGTCCAATGATTTGGTCTTTCCAAATAAGGAAGGCAGAGAGAAAACCATTAAATACATTTTTCTTCTGATTCCCCCCACTGTGTACAACTACAATACAACAACCTTATCCCACTTGTCCCACTAAGTAGGGTTGGCTACATGGATCAACTCCCGCCTTGTTCTATCCAAGACCATCCTTCTATCCAAATCGTTAACTCGAAATCTTTCTTAATAACTTCTCCAATAGTTTTTTCAGGTCTTCCTCTACCTCTATCTGTTTGACTCCTCTCCATCTGATCTACTTTCCTTAAACCACCTAAGTTTATTTCTCACCATATTTTCTACTATAGCTACTACCCCAACACTCTAATATTTTCATATCTAATTTTATCCTGTTTAGTCTAAACACACATCCAATGCAACATCCTCATCTCTCTTACACTTGCTATATTCTCATGCACAACAATAATAAAGAAAAAATCAATTTGGTTTAGCTTTGAATGCTATAAAAAAGATAACAACATTGAGCATATTCAGGAATTTAAGGGGTATGTTAAATAGAGATACTAATATGGAAGAAGTAAGATAACATACATACCTCTGGTTTAATAACCGACATGTCGATTTCCGACATCTTAAACCAATCCGAAAACTAAAAACTGTTGATATTTGAAGTTCCTTGAAGGGTGTAAACAGTATTTGCTGAGGTAGAAACTTAACCTTCAAGTCCAGAAAATCAGATAACACATTTAAATACTTCTTCCCTCAGAATGAAGCTGTGGCAGCAACATTTCACATTTCTCAAATGTACATTGTTCACCAAAGTATTCGCAGTGATAAACAAATCTCCTTACCACAAAGCACAAAGCAAAACAAGCATACACTTTCAAAAGAGCTGAATGAAGAATAATTCCCCACCTTCCAAATTAAAAGTGAAAGCTGCAAAGTCATAAATAAGAAAGTCACTATTTTTGCTAAATAAGCATTTCTTCACCACTCTAAGGATTACAATAACACTAAACCCCTTCAAACACACATTGAAGAGTAATAAGGAATAAGTTAAATTTTATAATTCCTATTGCAAAATAAATGACTATTAGCACCCACCATTTTGCTTATGTCATAATTTCTACAAACCAAACAAAAAGAAAATTCAACAATAATAACAAAAGAGGAATGAAAAACACATTTTGAAGACAACCCATGATTCTACGCAACGAGGTTAGGTGATAACAACTATGGTAAGGCAAAAAAAAGAAACAATGGTAAACATTCAAATGGAGCAAGCCAAATCATGCGTTATATGCATTTATGGAGATAGAGAGAAAGGAAAAGGGGTTGAGCGTGAAGTACCTGAGAACACAGAGGGGGAAGGAATTGCTTTGAAATGGAGGGAATTGGCGGTTGTCGGCGATGAACAGAAATGGATAGATAGAATAGAAGAGAGAGAAAGAAGAGAGAGAAAGGGGATTTTGGTTTCGATGAGAAAATTAAAAAGAAAAAAAAAATTAGGATTTTCTGTGTTGGGCTATGAACTTTACTTTTGGGCTTTTAAATTACTAGTTACACTTCTTTTTTTACTCATACTAACAATCCTTTCATTTTAAAATTCTCCCACCCCATCCCTTTCATGCTTTTAAAGATATATATATCTATGTTATAATATAATGTTAAGATATATAAGAGGAGGATTAATATACATTAATTTATTTTAGAATCATGAAAGAGGATTGGATTGATGTTTGATTTGTAATTAATGATTTAATCAAAGATTTATTCATTAAAATTGTTTTGTTAAGACTATTAAAGTTTTTGAAAACCTCTCTTATATCCACAACATTATCTTAAATAAATCTTATCAAACAAAATATTAAAATCTTGTATTTCTAATTAGTATCTTTTCTAACCTCTTGTTAAAAAAACACAAGAAAGTGTGTTAAAACATTATTAAAAATATATACAACCAAAGAAAAGAAATAGAGAAAAAAAACAAAATGAAAACATGTTACATATTTATTAATCCATATCTATATTTTGTAGTTTTAGGGTCTGTTTGGTTCAAATGAAGGGGAGGGGAGGGGAGGGATTTTAATGAAGGGGAGGGGAAGAAATTTTTTAATCAAATAAGTGTTTGGTTCAAAAGAGTGGAGGGTAGGGGAGTGGAGGGATTTTAATTAAAAATGTGTTTGGTTCAGAAGAGGAGGGGAGGGGTTTTATTAATAATTTACATTTTTATCCTTAGGATCTTATATAAGTCATATGATATTAAAATGTGAAAAATTCGTGCATATTTTTGTTGATAATAAAATTTCTAATATTGAGTGATTAAAAAAATATTTATTTGTCACATAAAGTTAAAAAATTGAGTACAATCGATTCGACTTATAACTTTCCAACATAAATTAAACTATATGCCAATAACATCGTTTAAATTGTGATGAATCATATAACAAAACAAATATATAAAATATCTTATTACTAAATATTAATGGTTCGAAATATTTAATAAAATGAATAAACAAAAATAAATAAAATGATATGGTTTACAATTTGATATAAAAGAAAATATGATAGAGTACATAACAAAATTAAAAGAAAAAAACGAATATAACGAAACATAATTTGTTTTATAAAAAAAAAAAGACAATGATTATGATTTATATTAATTATAAAAATTATAAAATAATTTGAAGGTGGAGAACAATTATAATAAGTTGATGAAAACAATCGAGAAAAAACAGTAACACAAAAGATAACAAATAGTTTTGAAATAATAAAATTAAACTGAGGATATTTTAATAAATATAATAATTTTTAAATATCAAAACTAGGGCTGGAAATGAGTCGAGTCGAGTCGAACTCACCTCAGCTCGGCTCGACTCGTTAAGAATTGTTCGAATTCGAGTTCGAGTTCGAGTTCGACACGAACTTTTTTTTAAGCTCAAACTCGACTCGTTATAAGTTCACGAACAGTTCGGTTCGACTCGTTAGGTTCATCTCATTAGGTTCATCTCACATGGTTCACGAACTTAAAAACTATTTTTTTAAATATATATATTTTTTAGTATATTTGACATTTTAAATAAATATATATTTTTTAAATAAAATATTAAAATAAAATAAAAGTTATCATATTGAAATTTAACTTTATCTTTGAAATCTACTAATTCAAAACCTACACAACTTTCAAGAGATACATTTGAGAGTCTAATTCAAAAACTACTAAATTGAAGATTAAATTTGTCTAAGTTTTGAAGTAAATATTTAAACCTAATCTTAAAGACAATATAATTCTTTTCATATGTAACCGAGTTGACTCATGAACCTAACGAGTCGAACTATGTATAGTTCAAGTTCAGCTCATTTAGTTAACGAACTTAATTTTTCGCTCATACTCAACTCATTTGGTTCATGAACCTAGTTCAACGATTTAATTGTCGAGTCGAATTCCGAACTATCTTCGAGTTGGTTTGGTTCATTGCCAGCCCTAATCAAAACTCATATTCCCTCCCCTCCCCTCCAAATCCCCCCAATTCAGAGGGAACCAAAAAGTGTGTTTTGGAGGGATTTTGCTCCCCTCCCCTCCTAAAATTTGAACCAAACATATTTAATTAAAAATTTCTCCCCCCCTCCATCTACCCCGAACCAAACACACCCTAAGGATACAAAGAAGTATAGTAACAAAAAAGTATTGAGGTAGAAAGTATAATATTTTTAAAAATTATTTGTAAGAGAAGTGTTAATAAAGAAAACTTAATACAAAGTGATAAATTTGAGAAAATATTGATATAGTACAATTTATGTTGGTGTTAGTTGAAAATATACTTGCTGAAATAGTTACACATTGTTTAGTTTTGTAAAAGATATGCATTTTAATGATTGAAATTAATCACGATGATAAAAAAAAATAATAGAATTGGATGCAAATAACTATTTATGATATATGGTGAATGATTTGTGTTTGGAGCAATTGATAAGAGGCGTAAGAGAGCGTAAGCCCAACAACAAAATATGCATAAGAAGCGCGCCAATCATCAAGGATTGGGGAAAAATGTCTAGTAGAATTATTCATTTTTTCTCCTTGATAGTGGTTGAGTAGTACTTTTCCTTTTATCATTTCCTTGTACTTGAATTTCCTTAGAGTGATTATACTTGTAATTGTTAATTTTTGCAATTGAATAATAAATTGTAACTTCATTTATAACAGTGAGTGAAGTTAGTGAAGTTATCAAGAGATTTATTTATTGTGAGATTATAATTCTAACCTTAACATTTGGTGTTTTCGTTGCCACCATTGTCATTGTCATTGTGAAAAACACTCTGATAAAAACCATGGAGACTTCAATCACCACCCTCGCCGCTACTCTCGCGCAAATCATAAATGTCAAATTAGACTTTTCCCAATTTGATAGCCTCGACATGCTACACTAGATCTTTAGAAAAGAACATTTTTTTTAGTATTATGCAAATCTAGGTCCAAGACCCTTCACCATTGTTGTAGTTCACATAAACTAAGAGGCAATACCTTGGTTTTGGATGATGGTACACAACAAGCCCTTTCAGTTCTGGTAAAAGTTCACATGCTACGCAGAACTAGAATCAGACCCTTCATTGTATGAATTATATAGGCAGCCCCTTTTTAAGCTTAGCCTAACCAATATTATGGCCTCATACTACATAACTTTCACCACTTTATCCAATAGGGTTGATGAACCCAGTCCATTTTCCATCTTAGATTGTTTTATTAGTGGGCTTAAATCATACCTCGCATGTTATATTGTAGCCTTAACTAATAATTCCATATCCAAAGCCCTGATTTTTGACAAATTCTTTGAGGAGAAATACACAGGCCTAACAAAAAGCCATTACCCGACCTAACTCATTAAACCTTGTCTTACCCTCACTCACAAAAACACAAACTTGCCTCCATTACTTCCAACTCCACTATCCAAACTACCATATAACCTTATTTGTAACCCTAATGTCAAAAGCATCACACAGGCAAAAATTCAACTTTTACGGGATAAAAGGATTATGTTACTATTGTGACGTTGAATTCATCATGTCCCACAAATGCCCTAATAAACATTCATACATATGGTAATTGATGAAAATGATACCATTAAGCCCTAAATTAACATATATGATTCAACCCTAAACCTTGGCGAACAAAACTAGATATCAGAGCACCATTTATCGTTCAATGCTTTGAGTGTTTCAATGAGATCCAATGCCACGCGCTTCAAGGGGCACATACAAGTGATTGTAGGTAATGGTAGAAATTTAACTTTTAAAGGATACATTACCTATTTACCCCTCTTAGTTTAAGGTGATATGCTTCATGTTTCAATGTATTTGTTATCTCTCATTGGCGGTGATTTAGTGATGGGTGCACCTTGGTTGAAAACATTGGTACCACACTAGTATATTACGTCACTTTGTCCATTAAATTTTATCTGCAAAATTTGTTTATCATTCTCCATGGTGAACAAAATATTACTTTGAGACGAGCCCAATTCCCCCATATTCTTTGCTTTTAGAATACCAATTCCATTGTTTTCTGATTTATTCTATAATTCCAACTTGTGGGAACTCATAAGCAAGCAATACAGACGGTTCTTGAGAACTTACCAC